TTCCATTTGATTCTCCATTCTAGGAGGATAATATCCCTAAAACCTAAACCCAAAACCCTAAATCCTATAGTAACTTAATTTGAGTTCCTTAACAGCAACCCAGAATCTTGTGCCAAAGCGCTGGTCGCTGCGCCAGGACCAGCTCTGCAGGTTTCCAGAATGGATCCCAGATGTTTTCCAGGATAGACCCTGGGAGAAAGTCTCCACCCCAATAGCCGCCATCATCAAAATCATAGATCCTGATGCCATGCTCCTCCATGCAAAGTGCCAGCAGAACATCCGAGACAGGGAGATAGTCCCGAAAGAGGTCTCCAACGTGCACAGCCTCGGTGCCTTCGATTGGCGCAGCCTGAGATTCCCACATGTGAATGTAGCCCTTTGTCAATGCCGTGGGTAAATATGGTGCAAGCCTGGCCATTGCTGCATTGGTGCAGAAGATCGCAGCCCCATAGATGACAGAGACGTTGATAAAGGGACGCACGATGTCATAGGCATGCTTGACACAGTTGGCACCCTCGAAATCCGCACCAAAAGTGTGTGCGCACTTGACCGACATCCACTTGAAAGTTTCCTTGTTGGCCGCTTGGAACTCTTCTTTCACACATGTACTTCAGCAAGAAAAATCCTCCCAACACATAGCCTAGTTTCCTTCGCATGCTTCCAGGGCAGTGTGTTTACGTGGCCAGCACAAACCGCTTCTTCAGCCGGATGAGAAGAAGCGTCCTGGAGAGCCTCCAGCAGCCAGGGCTCGAAGAGGTAGACGTCATCCCCAGACAAGCAGTACCTCGCATGTGTTGCTCAATACGAAGGTATTCAGAAAGATGTGAATGTCGTAATATCAGCATCCCATGTTCTTCTCACCTTGCTGTGGCCTCACCTCTGAAGCTCCCAGGACGGAGGCCCCATCATGAACTGAATAACAGAGTAGAGATTCCAGCCCATGCTTCAAACCTGAGACGTGCCCCTCGTAGTAAGGAACCAAACACGTGCGCACTGAAGAACTTCTCTTTCATGATCCCGATTATGCACCACTTGTCATTCCCTAGTTTCCTACTAATACACCCTACTATAATATAGTAGTTTCCATTTTCTTTTCCATTATCCCCATATAACAGCAATAATACACGTCCATGGTACCAGGGCAAATCTGGCTGCTGCTTGTAGAGACGAGCAAGCCCCAAGTGGCCCTTGTAGACCTCAGCTGCTTAGAGCCTTCCGCGACATGTGGAGGTTCTGACAGCTACTATGTAACTAAATTCCTAGGGATATAATGGGATAATGGAAAAGAAAATGGAAGCTACTATAGTATATTGGGGTTATAATGGGATATAGGGTTTAGGGCCCTATAATGGAGAATCAAATGGAAAAGAAAATGGAAAATGAAATGGAAACTGGGGTTATATAGGGGATTATAGGGATTAGGGTTTCTATGCAACTAAACTATTTAACAGAAGAAGACCTGGATCCTAAAAGAAGAAATCACATACTGTTGAACAGCCGAGGGACGTGACTCTGGTAGCTATCTGCAGGAAACCTGGCTGTAGAAAGGTTCACATCGCAGAGTCTCGTCGAAAGACGTTGTCACATGATTAGAGGTTCGTCTCGGCATGTCACGAAACCGACACGCCGGATCCTAGTCTAAAGCGTGCTTGCAGCTGGACTTGATCGAACAGTTCCAGCCGCCGCGCAGGACTTAGTCACATATCTGTTAGCATGGGCGGAAACGACTGTCTGGCTAATCATGAAGATGCAGCCACAAAACCGCTCCAGGAAGTCTGGCGGAGCTTTGATGGGCCAAAGTCTCAGGCGTCCGTCAAGATCTTGCTGGCTGGTCGCGCGGCTGCTAGCAAAGAACCTCATGTGGGGTGTTGGGTTTTCTAACAGCTGGCGCGCCCGTAACGATTCCAGGATGTATGTACAGACTACGTTGACCGCTCACAGCAGCGCCAATGCTCTCGCCACTGTAACTCCTACAGAATCCTCCAGCAAAGAATGGCGAATCAACGATCCATCCCAGGTCCACCAACTATAAAGAATTGCGACTGACTATCCCCACCGAGAAGGCTGCCGCCAGTTGTTCGTGGAGCCATGACCCGCACAACTCCAATCACAACACAGGCCTTAAAAGCTTAATGTTCGCTGCCACATGATTGAAGGAATCCGTGACAGCTGCAGGCGATGGCCCATCAGGCTTTGCTAGCAACAATGACTTGCGAAGTCAGATCACGGATCGGGGCATACAGACTAAGCGGTCCTCAAATGCAATCTGTTCTTGGAATGAGAACTTTAACCATGAACAGCAACCCAGCACCCTTACAATGCAGCAAAGTGTTAAAAGCCAAGGAGCAGGTTGGGAAAGCGCTTGCCCCAGGTCTTGTTGACCCAAACACTTCTGGAACCCAAATGCTGCTTCGCAGTCATCACCACTATGCCGATATCCTCCGTGCTTTGCAGCATCCGCACAGGGGCTGGAGCACGACGCCTTGGCAGCAGAAGAGGCATTTCATACACGACCGGATGCAATCAGACAGTTTAGCTGGGGAGTTGCACAGGTAGTACTGCAATGGTAACATCCGTATCAGAAAGGGCAGAAGGATACATGAACACAACATCGCAAAAGCAGACAAACTTGAGAATTACTGTCATTGATTATGGTGCTCGACCTCTTTCCCGCAATTGCAAAAAAAAACTCAAAGCGCAAAAAGACCGAACAAGATCGACCAAGCACAGAATCAAGGACACCCCCAGCTGGGTAGTTGGTTCACGGTGTATATTCCGCCGTGTGTCAAAGGCAACATTTGCGAGTGCAGTCGGTGCTTTGTGGGGGGCGGGGGGCACGTGCGACCCAAGAGCATACGGTGACCAGAACATCCATGCCCAAACCATAATTTCGTTTGTGTTGCAGGCGCATACGGTCACCAGACCATCGCATACGGTGACCAGAGCATTCATGCCCAAACCATAACTCCCTTGGAGTTTCAAGAACATGCGGCGACCAGAGCATCGGTGCCCAAACCAATATACATACGTTTGTGACGGTGACCAGAGCATCTATGCCGAATCTATGCCCAATACCAAATAGCTGGTGTTCCAAGAGCATGCGGCCAGCAGAGCATCCCTGCCCAAACCCTAATTTCGTTGGCGTTCCTGGAGCATGCGGTCACCAGGGCATCCATAATTCAGTTACGGCTGTTGTTCAAAATTCCTTTTCTGGGA